CTACATATCGATTTATAGTAATATTACTTATGGAGTAGTGATCTTTGTTGAGTATGGATGTTATAAGTATCTTGGAATATTTTCTTTTGAGTTTATTAATTTGTTATTCTTTTTGTCTATTTAACGCATTTTTATATTATTATTTTTTTTGAATTTTTTCTCTTGCCTCTTCTAACCAACTGTTCATCCCTTCCGTACTGCGTTTATGGATCCTTCAGTTTCTATATAAAAAATAGCCTCCTTATTTTACTAATCAAATAATCAACTCCTGATTTCAATCTCATCTGCGCACTTCATCAATTGTCAACTGTGAAAAAAGTTTTTCTTTCTTTATTCTTTTCCATCCATCTGCTATATTTTAGGGGTATGTCGATATCATGGCTTACCTAATTCAATGACCATTTTTTTTCCCATTCCAGTGTTGGAATGAAACAACGAATTATGTGCCATATAAATATTTTTTCTAAAAAAGGAAAATATCTGAAGGTATTACTGTTTCAAACATTTGAGAGATTCCATTACACTGGTTGTTTTTAGCGATTCAATTGTTCCTTTAAAACAATAGTTGAACACTAATCTTAAGATGACTTGGTTCAATATCTCAAGTGACAATGAAGTAAAAGTGTGGATAACGAAATACCGAATTAGCGAAGCTACTGAAAACCTTTGAATAAATATTTTTTTCTCGGTGATTTTCCCTAGATCACGGCGTAATTAGATTGCAAAGACGATTTTTTTAAATATTAATTTAATCCGATTCGCCGCGGAGAGCTGTCAAAGCGTACAATGGGAGTGGCGATGCCAGGTTTCTCGCTGAGTGAATAGAATGGAGAGGAAATGAGGAGAGTTGCTACAACATTGTTTTCTTTTTGTTCGACACCCAACCGTATTTCCTTTTTCTCTATTCAATGGCGACTTTGAAGCACGGGCCTCCTTGATCAGGTCCTTGAGGAAGATTAGCTAACATAGAGGCCTCAATGTTTGAGGTGTTATCATCAACTAATAACTCTCTTTTATACGATATACGATTGGTAAATTACGGACGATAATAATCGCTAAACGTTTTTTTCAGTGCTATTTGGTGCTTATAATCTTAGACTTAAATCGTTATGAATGCCATTTACTTGAAATAGAAGATAATGTTTTCATTATATAATATTTTCAGTACCTCATTATCTACATATACCGAAAGTATTAAGATAAAACGACGTAATATTTATAAAAAAAAAATTAAATGTTGAAGGGAATGTCGGACCTTTGCCAATCCACCGCCAATTGCAGATACCCGATATCCCTCTGTACAGGGCTTTCATATCGTCGTTACTCTAATTGTTATGTTTTACTCAATGTTCCACAAATTATTTGGCGTTTGTCTTGTTTAGTGATCAAATCGGATAAATTTACTTGTATGGTTTATTGAACTCGTTAGTGAGTAATGTTTTAATTAAATTACTTTGAAATATTGAAAAGCAACTGAAAATCGGACTCCATCCATAAAACATTGAGGAGAAGAACAGAAAGTGACTTGCCCCCCATTTCCCAGCTCCTATGATCGGACGTCTTTTCCGAAATAATAAGCGAATCAAATAAAAATGAATCCTTTAAAAAGCAATGCTTATCCAAATCCAAAATTTAATGTAAAGTAAATTTGATCCGAGGAAAATCATTTTCTAGAAATGTTGAAGATAATAGGTTGTGTATAAACCCAGCTACAACTTGTTGTTCCGTTATACACTGCAAACTTGTTAATAATAGTGAGCCATTGTTTTATCAAAAACGGATTTTTTAAATTATTATTTTATGAATGTTTGATTCATTTATCATATATTCACTTTTAATAAAACTAAGAAAATTTATATTTATTTTATTACTATGCCTCAGCCGAAAATTATGTTTTATTCTGAAATTAATTCATGAATAAACGAATAAATGTTTAATCGTCAGTCGTTGTAAAAAAAAAAAAAAAAAAATACTTTTTTCAATTATCCGTTTTATGTTAGTCGCAACTAACGAATAAAAAATGATTCTTTAGTCGTGAATATTTTGTTATGAAATATACTTCAGTCACCAATCGGATAATTTTAACCAAACTCTAAATACTAAAAAAACAGTGAAAAATGTATATTGTGCCAACTGAAAATATTATCGGAAACTCCGCGAACAATACTAGGTATCAATAAAACAGTTTATCTTGTTTTTGGAGTTTAAAAAAAAAACTAGATTTAGACAGATTCAAATAGATGTCGCGAGTTTTCTCTTACTCGTCCAACTGTACGGCACCGCGACAGGAACTGATGATTATTCTATCATGTCATCTCCAGTTTATCAGGTTTTGTCCAACAACGCATGTTTTGCACACGCCTTAATCCGCTCGGCTACAATGAAAACCTGATATTTTGGGCATACTAAATGTCTACTAGCTTTGTTTTATTTATTACTTAAATCTCTTTAGTTGTGCTTTTCGTATTATAATCTCCTTTAAGCCGTCCCTATTAATATTTCTGTTTTCCCTTTGATAATCGACCAGCTGACCAAAGCAGGTGTCCACGTAGGAACACCGTTTAGCCATATGTTAGCCCTCTGCTATGACGTGTATGCATTTTACTATCCGTACTAAAATAAACATAGAAATATTTTTCTTCAACTCATACATCGAATCTCCTTGTACAATTCTAGTTTCATAATCATTTTTCAGGATGTATATGACTAACCAATCATACAATTGATGCATCTAAACTTTAACAATCTATAATAAATTAATAATAATAAAACAATATTTTTTATTTTATCAGAACTAAAGGAATGCATTGAGGCATCTGTCGTCAGAAATAAAGGAACTGGGGCGGTTAACTGTTTAATTGACTGATTCCGTTAATTACATCAAGTTAATTGAGATATCACGGAAATTATTTCTACAGTTTGAGAAGTCTTTCTCAGTTCAAAACCAAAATGGATCTTATTTTATTATTATCTAAATTGGCAAGGAAAAAAAGTTCAGTCCCTTTTTCTTCTCAGTTTCTCAATCGATCACTGACGAGCTTTAGTGTTATCAATAAAGAAAAATTTATTTTTTTAGGAATTTTTTTTATATTTATTTATATGATATTGACAACTGTATAAAAAAAAAAAATACATCCAGTAAATTCGCACATGGATATAATGACATAAAACACATGTTGAGAAACTACCCATTGGTAGCACTGGTAATATGTCTATATTAGGAGATCACGTGGCCATCTTCTTTTCAGACGCCTCGGAGGGTTATCAGCAATTGAATAGAAAGCATGGTTAGAAACAAAAGGGTTGGGATGGTAATGGAAGGATAGATATCTGGATGGGGCCAAATCTGATACATAAGGAGCATTAAGGTCATTGTGGATGATTTTATTTGTAACAAAGTAAGGAGCATTGAGGATTTTGCGAAGGATTTTGGATTGTAAGGATTGGATACGACAGGAATTTGAAGGTTAGGTGGAGGCCCATAGTTCAACTCCGTAAGTCCAAATAGGCCTTATTATAGTCATGTAAATGAGTCTTTTGTAATTAATTGGAAGGTTAGAGCGTTTATCTAGTAAGTGTTGAAGTAGTCGGAAACGTCGAGCTGTTTCTTGTCGTTTCAGTCTGGTATGAGGATTCCAAGTTAGATGTTTGTCCAGATGGAGTCCTAGGTAACTTTTAGGAATGTAATATAATAATAAGGTATTCCATAATTTTTTATGATGTTCTATTGCAAATCTATATATTTAATATATGTATATATTTAATCGCTTTTTAAAAGTTTTAAAAAATAGAATAATGTTATAGCTCTCTGATGTTTCAATATTTTTTATTTGTGCAATTTTTTCTGCTTTTCATTAATAACAAAAATAGGCTTCTCCACTGCGTCTGGGACATTCCAACGATGATTTTGACACTTAACAAACTGTCCTTCATTATCAATCTAATGGATGGATATTTAATTAAATTTTATCTCATTTTATTAGAAAGCATTATAAATAATAATTGTAATTTTTAGGCTTAATTTTATTCTTTATTTTACGGTAATGTCTATAACCTTATAGTCCTTGGTACAGACCCTTTTTCATCAAGTTATTAACATCCGTATGAAACTACAAAAATAGCTCCATCTCATCGAGCTACAACTATTTTATTTACGCAAAATCTTGGAATTGGGGAGTTTTCAATCTGGAGATCATCAAACTTTGTCTATTTTATTAGGTACTAAAAATTCGTAAATACCAATTTTCTTTCCCCTTGGATCGTAAGATAATTCGATCATAAAACTGGGAAAACAGCTGGCCTACAAATATAGTGGGCTGTTGGCCTATATAACTTCCTTATTTTGACAATTTGGGGGTTTAGTTCAAGCCAAATATTTTTGGCGGTCACTTTTTGTCTAGATTTTGTGCTCAAAGTATCTTACGATCCAAGCAGAAAGCAAATGAGTATTTTAATGAGTAAGTCCTTGAGACAGATTGTAATATTTTTCAATAAATAAGTTTTAAAAAAAATTAAATAGACAAGATTTGCCGACCTCCAGATTGAAAACACCCCAATTCCGAGCATTTTCGTTGGTAAAATATTTGTAGATTACGATGAGATGAAGTTATGTACGAAGTTTCAGGAGGAAGTTAGTAATTTCATAAAAAAGTTTCTGTACCACGAACTATCATATAATTAATAGTTACAAGAGAATAATAATAGATTTATTTATTGTTATTATTTATTGTTGAAATAATATCTAACGAAGCATTATTAAATTTCTGACAAACACTCCATATTTTGAGTCTTTTTTTTTTTTAATGAAATTTACAACTGTTTTACATGGAAAATACAACAAGAAAATGTGACATTGGTAACATGACATGTACAACATGAAGAGAAACTACCCATTGGTAGAACTCAAATTTTTGAGTCTAAAATTATATTTTTTATAAATGATCTATGTACGGGTGTAGCAGACTATAGCAGGGTTGCTGAATATAGTACCCTGACTTATATTAAGCGTTGGGAGTACTAGTTCCGAGGATGGCACCTGCCTCCATATCCTCTAATTCGGCATGACTGTCCTCAGGGTGGTCCGGACGTGAGGCGAGTCCATGACTTGGCGGTTCGGTCTGCGACGGTGCTTCTTCTTCGGCTGTTGGGGCATGAAGTTTCTGGAAATAATTCTAAAAAGTATTAAAATTTGTGCAATAATGCCATGGAAACTAATTTACGTTATAAGTCTATGTTTTTGTTATAGGCAATGTTCTACAAACTTTCTGCGTCTAAATATTTTGATTTATAAAACAACCATAAGTCCGACTCTGATATATGGCAGCCCATTGTTCTCATTTATTACAAAGTCGACAGAAAAACGAGTATAATTGGTTCAAAATAGAATATTCCGAAAGTAGTAAAATAAACGTCATTGCAAAAATTTAAGTCGTCAAGACTTCACGATAAGTTAAAAATAGCAAAAATAAAAAATTTTATTACTGACACGAGAAGAATACCAAATTTCAACAATCGGTAACAAATGTAGAAAATTACATATTCAGCCACAATAAACCTTCTAGACTAACTCAATGAATGGCAAAAATTGTATGAAAAATAAATTCACCTTTAATTGTAGTTTAAGTTCGTCATAAAAAAAAAGGTGAGCCTCATCGTTTAGTTAGAAGTTAAAAATAATTATAGAATATAAACTGCTTGAAATCAAAAATATAGAAAAGGGGTTGCTTTTGATACCTTGCAACAATAAAAAAAAAAAGATACAATGGACTAAGGAAAAAATGTCTGCTCAAAAAAAGTTGTCTAATTTTAAAAGGACAAGATAAATTACTAAAAAATATTTTTAAAAGTATCATCAAAAGATTTTACAACGGATCTTCAACTGGATCAAAGCGGCAATAATGATGTTCATTCGGATGTTTTGCGATGGGGCGGACTAACACAATAATTCCAACTATTTTTGAGCTTTTAGTGGGAAATGATCCGATAAATAGCTCCAATAATTCTTCGAAAAATTATAGAAATTATTTTTTAAATCCCTAAGAGGACCTCAAAGGAGTCTGCCGAAAACAAAATCCCAAAAGAAACCGTGCATATCAACTGCTTGAAACATTCTGTAATATCCATAATTACTATGATTTTAACATCCAAAACATAAACCTTATTAAAACTAATGTAGTATGAACGGTAAAGCAGAGACATTTCCAAAAGTAGTTTTTGGTAAAGAAACAATCAGAATGACCACAGAATTGGGAAGAAATATTACCTTATCTGTTGGTAGATGTAATAGATCGGTTATCTAACTATATCATATCTCGAACTATAAAAAATCGATTGTTGAGTGTATAAACCAGATAATTAATCAATTTCATTAATGTATCTACCGATTACTATTAAGTTTAATTCATTTTACTAATTTTTGCCTACCTAATGAATGGAAATTTATTTCTAGTTATGTGGGAGTAATTGATACTAGTATGCAAATTTTATATAGTAGTATTTTTTTCCTCAATGTTTATTTTAGTAACAGAAATATCCCATTTTTCTCCTCCTGTGGATCCGCCATTGGAATAAATTATATTTTTAATTCAGTGTTGTTAAAAACTGAACTGATTTTCTTCACGACCTGATCTAAAAACGGCAATAAATAATTTCTCCCAGAAAGAACAGTCTTATTAGTTGTATCTCATATTTTTCAAAATTTTTCCCCCGCGTTTATGGACTGCAAACGATATTTATGGGAAGCTTCCACACACAAATTTCCTACAGTCTTTGAAGTTGATACAGTCTTTGGAACTGTACCGTTATAAATCTTAAAGTCTTCCTCGATGAATGTTTTTCACGTAAAGAAATGTTTTCCTTGCGGATTGATTGGCAGTTTCCACAGACAGATGTACGGGGGTAGGAGGCATTCAGGCTGAAGCCTCCCTTCCTCTCAAAATGGTAAAATATAAATAATAAAAGTATTATTGAGGGAGAAGATGGTCCGGGGTGACGATCACAAATAGACTAAAATAGTGGCTAAACTATTTTATTAAAAGCCAACGTTTGGACCCGACTTAGCAGGTCTTCTTCAAGGCTAGAACGGAAAGGATATAGAAAATTGTGAAAGTTATATAACATTTAGATAAAAATTATAAACAAGGTGATTAAACTTACTGAAATTATAAACAGTAAGTACATTGAAATATTAAGAGCATTAAGCTATATAAACAGAGTAAGATAAGTAACAAGGTTCTAAACTGAAGTAAATAGAAGTTTACGATTGTTGTAGTATAATATATAATATAATATATGCAATTATAAATATACTCCTACATATCTCAAGGAGAGATTGAAAGAAAAGGAATAATAATATGAAGTAACGGACATTAAGGGATGTGACGAAAGAAAAGAAAAACAAATAAATAAGCAATAAAATAAAATTTATCAAAATAAAAGAATAATAATCGAGCCTTAAATGTGTGTTCAGCAAGGAGTTTCACCTAAAACTGTAAAAATTAGGGTAGAGTACCCTTGGGGAATTTTGGTGACCTGGCTAGGAAGTGGCGAGGGGGTAAGTAGTAAAAGCAAAACAAAACAAGAAATATTATAGTATCTAAAATTTGAAGATATTAATGGATGAAAGAAAAAATGCGATATATATGAACAAATAAATTATAAATATATACATATACATATAAAATAGAATTAAAAAGACCTGCAAAGTCGGGTCGAAACGTTGGTTTTTAATAAAATAATGTGGCGCTGTTTTAGTCTATGACCGCCACCCCGGACCATCTCATTCCTCTATGATACACGGTCAACTATTAATTATTCAATAAAAATATTATTGTTCGTGTATTCACATTATAATACATATAATTTCAAGAATCACTTTAACACCATTTCATACTGATAGTTTTCTTTCTGTTTCATTAAAAGTAATTATATATTAAAAAAAAGCTTTCGGGCTGAAGCCATTCTAAAATTAAACCCTAAATCCGTTAATGGTAGTTTCTACAAATTGGCGCTTCGAAGCAAACTCTTCAGATGTATCCATATACATTGCAGTAAGTAGATTATATATTCAATATTTAATTATATATTCCATATTATATATTTTTTAATAATATTACTTTATGAATCGTGTTTAGAACAAAACCAACTCAAAAAAATATTTCATTCATAGAGCTCTAGGATTGGACCTCCGAGTCAATTCAGTCCTTTAATATTGTATAGTGACATCTGTGTACGAGCAGTGGTAACATCTGTTGTTGATTTTTCATGAATATTTCAGTCTCCTTCATAACAGCGGTTCGAAAAAATAAAAGCAAGAGCGAGTGATTAAATATTATTATCCTAAATTTGTAACTGAAAATAATTTTGATAAATTACATCACGTTAACAAAATTTAAATTCTAATAATGCATTTATTTATTTCAGTACAATTTTTATAGGTAGATTTTTATTTTATAAAACCATTTTTTTTTTTAAGAAAAACTAAATATTTTAAAGAAACATTAAACTTTTAAATCATTGAAAGTCTACCTTATAATCTATTGTTGATTTTTTTTCCCGAGAAACAAATGTTTTATGGTCCTATTGACAAGTTAATCGTTAATATTAACCTAAAATTAAATATGTATTCTGGTATGTATTTTTAAATCGCTATTCGGACAAGAAAATATTATAAAATATATATTTTTTGTTCTTACTTACTAGGATCGGTGATAGTTAGATTGAGCTTTCGTTACTATTTTGCTGTTCTGTATATTTAGATTTTAGTTTAGTATAGTGGTACAGATTTGTCAGTTGTTTCGTTAAGATAAGCGAGGATGTGAATTCATAGATATGACAGTTTACTTTATCCTCTTATCTGATCTGGTATGTTTAATTTTATATCTAGGTTTCAAACGACCTTTTTTTTAATAACGCTTTACATTGGGAAAGCATTTATTTGGAACATTGAAAAGAGGCATTTATTTTAATTTTCCATTTTTGGACCATTTTCAAGATTAAATGGATAGTTATGAAGGGTAATATTATATTTATAACAATATGTTTTTTAAATTTATTCATTAAAATGTATAACTGTACTAATAAAATGCAAGCAGCTGAAGCTGCAGCATACAATAAAACATGATAAATTTGACTTGAATTAAAGTTTTTTTTTCACTATTTTAGTTTTTTTATGACCACCGACCAGGACCATCTCCTTCCTCAAAAATATACAACGGTCAACCATCAAGTTTCAAAATTATATTTATATTTGATTCCATAAAATAAGATTATTTGGAAATTAGTTTAAAAATGTATTTTCTATTTCTCCAGAAAAATGGAGGTTACATAAAATAAGCACTCCTCATTCAACTTTAATCTAATTGTTAACTATTGACCCGACACCTTTAATTCAATATAATCGAAATTATTTCAATACAAACTACTAACCAAACTATTTCAAATGTAAACTTTCAGAGACTTAATATTTGAAAAATGAATAATAAATAAACTAAATGTATGACTAATCAATCACTTGTGTTTGGTGAAAATATTTCGACGAGGAGCCCATATTACGGATTAAATTATTAAAAATAAAAGCCATGGAAGGGATGCCACTTGGAAGTATGGAAGGTATTGCTTTTCCTCATACCTATCAAGCCTATATATATATAAATTTATTATTATTATTTTTTTTTTTCTCAAGGCTATGCCAGCACATTTGCTGATGGTCGATAGTTGTAATTGACAGCTGCGGATAAATAAATGAAAATTCAAAAAAATAAAAACATTATTAAAATTTCTTTATTTCAATTCCTCTTTTAAGGTTAAACCTCTTTCCAACAAAGCGAATAGTACATTATAGTAATTGCTGGTTTAGATATTCCTACCATTCTAAGGAATCGCTCTTAGCATAGGGAGTGCATACAAAAGTGAAGTAATTCTGACTGAGATCAGCTACGAAGAGAGAGATATGACTCAACCTAAGCAGAGAAGTTTGAATTGAGGTGAGAACATGAAGTTATGAAGTGAAGCAACTGTGACCTTTAGTTTGTCGCTTCATTACAAAATCTAGTTTAGAAGACTTCCTCCCGCCCACGGCGACGATCGTGCTAGCCCAGGATTTACCTAATTTCTCTGGAGTTGTTGCTCTTCCTTTATGGCGTGGAAACTAAAAAACAAGGAAAGACATTATAATAGAACTTGGATGAATTTTCGGTATATGTGGTGACGTGGTAAATTTCATGCCTTTATATAAAAGTTATATGCAAATTATTTCGTTCATTTGTTTGTACTTTTAATATATAATCCAAGCGAACCGTGCAAATAATAATGCTTTAATCTGTGGTAGAACGTGACTTATTTGGGGGAAACAAATGAACGGCGCTATTCTGTAATAATAAAACAAAAAAAAAAAAAACTAATATGTGTGAGCTGTAGAACTGTAGTAGTGAAAACATCAACAAGGCAAGATTAAAAATATGAAATATAAATTATAAATAATAGCTCATTTTCCTTTTCCTATTCCTTCGCTTACAGTATGTAGATCCGAACTCGTTATAATTTAGTTTTCGATATATTTTTTCCATGTTCGCCTCTCTAACACAGCGTCGCGTTAAAATACGTTTTTGAATAATTGCTCATTACAGAGAGGATGAAATGCTCTCGCAATTCTCTCGCTTACAGTATTTACTCGCAGATCCGAATTTTAGTTTCTGATATGTTTTAATCCATATCGTCAATAAAACTCGTTATCATTTGGTTTTTGGCACATGTTTTCCATTTTCTCTTCTCTAACACGACATCGCGTTAAGATAAAATTTTGAATAATAGTTCATTACTGAAAGAATGAAACGTTGAACATTTCCCATATCTCACACATCTCACAGTATGCAGGCCCGATTTTTATTTTCTAAGCTATTTTAATCTATATGTAAAAACACTTTAATTAGTCGACTCCAGCAGACTTTAACCGATCGTTACACATCGAAGATCTGACGGCTGTCCTCAGTTCCTTATAAGTAGTAAAGGCTTGTGAATATGCCTGATGGTCTCTGTTACTTCGCAACGAGGGAATAGGGGAATCGATATTCTTTCTAAGTAAAAAGATCTTCCAGAAGACCCATGTTCAGTGAGTAGTGGGCGATTCAGTAATCCAGCACTATCCGTATCGACGCAAGCTGGGAACCGAGAGTAAGAAAATAATTCAAGTTTTCACTAACTATTGGAAAAGCCTGATTAGCTTGGTAATTAGGAAAATATCGAGATGGCGTTTTGTCTTATATATGAGTAACTATTGCACCTGTTAGATCTATAGAGTCCAGTTTAGATTCATCAGTAAAGCAGAAATCTTTGTGAAATTCTATGCCTAATCTAAGCCGTAACCATAGACTTCAATCAAGCCGGAAAACTGTAGACGCTCTGATGTAGAACAGCTTTTCTTCCGTAAATATCGTTTGCTGTCCGCTATGCACAAATTGCGGCAATTAACTTTTAAGCATATTGGAATCGACTTAAGAAAAAACATTTTTTTTTTCTTACGGACAACCAGAACTTGTTCCATTAACATAAGGAATAGAGAAGAGAAAAACATATAGTTTAATAATGTGAAGAAAAATATAAAATTTTCAAACTTACTTTAAGGTTTCTTTAATTTATTAATCAAACTTTTTTTAAATAGAATAGCAAAATAGTCTTTTTTTTATGTCTCTTGACTTCCGCCATGAGTCTTCCAGCACCCCAGTAGACCTCTGATTTTGAAGAGTTTGAATTTATTATTTTTGACAACAGATGGTAAATAAATAAAAAAATGAAATATATATATATATATATATATAAACTTAAACTAATCAAAATAGCAACTTAAATACAGGTATACTTTTATACAATATTTTCAAAATTCACTCTAGGAGATCCCAGCGCCTCTCGCTCAGCCACTTCACTGGTATTAAGTTTTCAACCAGAAGATAATTCAATAAAATGATTTTTTTTTTTTTTTCAAGAGAATAACACTTTGGATTTTAAGCGTAAATTTCTGATGTTATTCTGTTAATCTAGGTTGAAAGATATATATTACATATTTAATGGATGTGAAACCGTGGAGCACAAATTTTACTTTAATATTTAACATGGTGCTGTAATTTTTCATGTATATCTATGAATATTATTCCATACATTTCCTATATAATGTAATTTATCTTATGGTTGTTTTTCTAGTCATATAAGTAAATTGACAACTAAGGCCTGGCCATCTTCTCTCTGCTACAGACCCTTTAGCTTCAGAAAATTACTCTGTTTTGCCTTAATAGTTTGTATGATGACTTTATTGACATGTTCCCTTGCCTTAGGTGAAGCTATTCACTGCTACGTGTGCTCTAGCGATGTGGACAGATCTTGCTGGGATCCGTTCAACGTAACTTCCAGGAGGTTCCTCGTCAGCGACTGTGAGAGGGACAGGTCTTTCACACCTTACCTCAAAGGAAACGCTGTCTGCAGGAAATTCACCCATATAGGTAACTAGAAAGTATTGTGAATGAGCTATTTCTTGGTATATTCTAAAGAAAAAACACTTCATAGATAGATTAACTAATAGTTTAGTAAAGTACCAGATGGAGATTCAGTCGCAGGAATATTAACACCATGATTAAATATTTTATAATACACTTTCCATGACTTAAAATGAAAAATCTGTGCTTAGAAATATAAAATAAAAAAATAGTAAAAATTTATAAGTTTCTTTCTTTGCAATGGTCTTCTAAGGCAACCAAAGCGACTTAGAGACACTTGTTTATTGAGAGCTATCACATTCTGTCTCACTTAAGTACATTTGTAAGAGAGATCAGAGAGCACATTCACACCATATTTACAGAAAACATAAAGAAATTAATTAAGTACAAATATATAAATATATACGAATAAGAACAAAATAATATAACATGAAAAGAAAAATTATAAAATGAATTAGAAAAAGTAAAATGTTCTTGAAAAGTAAAATAAACATCTAAGACATGGGCAAGCTTTATATATCTATTTAACACTATCTTCTATGCTTTGGACACTCTGATTAATAAAACCATATTCTATTATAATAATATTGCATTATAAATTTTAAATCTTCATTTCTCCTTGGTTTCCATAAAATTTTCTAAACATATGAAATATTTTTAGTTCAATGAAATATTAAGTCAAAAGTTTTCTTACAAGATTATTTTTATTTTTTTTATTACTTTTTTGTCCCGGGTGACATAGCTTTTCTCTAACAAAGCATTATGATGACAGAGCGATTTCCGGATATTTTTTTCCGAAATGTTAGATCGTGTTCACCCTTCGGTACTTTTTTTAATAAGTTGAAAGTGCCGAGTAATAACGTGCAAATTTTTTAATCCCCTTTGTATTGGAAAACATATATTCATCAAGCGTTCTATTTTCTTACAGGGAAAATATCGGAATATCTATCTTCTGTAAGTTGTCATTTAGATATACAGTTTCTGTATTTTTGTGCTGTCTTACACTGCCATGAACTAATTTAAAATTTGTATTATTTCAAGTTATGAAGGCAACGAGGGACGATGGGTGGGACACACTACCGGATCCACGTGTGGTTTGGGGTAAATAATTGAAAAATATATATTTTTCATTGGTTAATATTTGTTTTTGTGAGTGATCAAAGTTAAATACCTAAAAAAAAAAACACCCAAAATTATATCCTAGATCCGCTACAGGTGTAGCTCAAAGCCGTCCATCAGGTAACATCTTCACAATAACGAATACCACAATAGGTGGAAAGAGGCCATGTGGAAGGACAAAATCTATATGGATAGATAAAATCAACCAAGATGCTGCTGTCTGGAACAAACTCGAAAGCACTAGTCCAAGATAGGAAGATGTGGCTTGTTTAGAAGGCTTAAGATCTACATAATTTGAAAAGTCGACAGAAAAAAATAAGTTTAGTAAAATATACTCTGTATTCCATAATTTATAAATAAAAAAATCAGAAATCCAGATTTAACTTATAAGATAGAAGCTATCAGCTATTTCAATATAACAACTTTTTTTTTTTTTAATTTCTTTATTGAGTATTATAACAATCTGTCTGTTGGACATTGTTTATAGTGAGGTAGGATGACTTTCACACTATATGTACAAAACAATAAAATAAATAGAACAAAATAATAATTAAAAGTATATACAATACACAATAAAACAAAATAACCTAAAAAATAAGAAAATTAAAACTGAGAAAAAAAACACATGCATACCTATATACAATCAGGCGAGAGAACTCCAGGAGAACCCTGCGCTACTCTCCCAACCGCTTCACTAATATTATATATTATATACTAATATAACAACTAGAAAATCTTTATAATACATATTTTTCACTAAAGGTACAAATTTTATATTCAATAAGCTCACTGTATTCGCTTGGTTACTTTATGGTTAACCAATGGACATAAAATACAATAAGTATAAATATAAATAACGAAAATAAAAGAATATACTTACAATAATTTAAATAGTAACAAATATAAAATAAATATAACAATGTACCTCATCGGTCAATCTGTTGTAACAGGGGTCTCCAAACTATTTGGAACGCATGCCAAATTGAGACTTCCTCCAAACCCCCGGGCCGCATTGGTACCTCCATTAAGACCCGAGGGCCATGGCTTGTGATGAAAAAAAAATCTTGTTCTATAAATGACACTTTAGTTGTGAAATGAGCTGTATGTTGCCCAAATGCGAGACCAAGACGAGTCTTGGTATTGCCCAAGAGTCTCGCAACAGTCTTACAGTTACCTATTAGCTTATTACTATAGATATATTACTGTAATATTTTAGATAGAAGACACCTAACTAAGTCGGAATGAAAAATTAGAAGAGTTAAATGAAAATATATTGGTTAAACCAATTCTTTAAATATAGTAACTAAAATTGTCAAGTATTAGTAACTATTTTGCCTTAATTTTTATTTTAAAAATCTATTTTTTTAAGAGTCTTGGTCTTGGTCTTTCAACAGCTAGGCGGTCTCCCATTTTGCAAGACCAAGATCGATTTTGGGCAACTCTATCTAAGAGAAATAACTCATGCAGTAAATGCTGTAGAAACCTCGTATTTAAGTGATTTAATAATTTTCATATTTTTAAAATTTTATCATGTAATCCAGGAAACTTCCCCTGGCCGGATGGGAAATGCTTGGAGGCCTGATCCGGCCCGCGGGCCTTAGTTTGGAGACCCCTGTGTTAAAGCAAATATTGGTGGTGCGATCTGTCGTGTAATTATAATAACTAACTCTCATTATGCGATAGTGGTGCTATCTCCCGTGCAACTACTCAGCTACACAGCTGTAGTTGATACGGACTACTTTCTGCCATTTCTAATTGAAACTGATATATCGCTACTATTAGTGCAAAAGGTCGTACGAAATATTTTTCCATGTTTATTTTATTTGTGCTAAAGGTGGCATTTTTTAGTCTGCAATGGCAATAAGTAGTCTGCTACTATGGAAAACAGCAGAGGAGAATAAAATATGAAATTATAATAATAAATCATATAGAAATAATCAGTTCTTATGCTCTTCTGTAAAAAAATTCAATTTTTACTTACGAGCTTTTGCACTAACCGTAGCGATGTTATAGGTAGAACAGTTTCCAAGCAATTGATAAAATTTCTAACACCTTTACTATATTACAAACATTGTTTAGTCAAGAAGAGATAATTTAATCAACCTTCTGATGAAACTTGTTCGACTAGATAGCTTGGATAAAAGGATCCGCTCCAGACAATGCAGCGAGCGAAGAGGTGAGAAATTAAAAGAGTTATCCGGACTAAATCGGCCGTTGTAACGGTCCATGTTTCCAATCGATTGGGATTCACGTCCGTGGAAATAGATTTGTGGGTAGTCCCTCGCTCCTTGGTCAACCGTTGCGGTTTCTTTTAGCTGTCTTTCCTTCGTCCACTGTGGAGTCGGTGCCGTTCTCGTTTCTTCAGCAGCTGTCCTTTCAAATGAAGGGGCAGAAGATATTGAAGTATTGCAGCTAAGATCAGAATGCAAAAGAAAGGCAGAAATTTAGGAGTACGATGTGAGCAAAAAAAAAAAAAAACTAAGGTGTTTACTTTAGACCATCTGATAGAAGTGAAAACATCAACAAGGATAGATTAATAACTTGATTAATAACTTGCTGGCAGTCTTAGCCCTACTTTATCTACTTAAATTTATAAAAAAAAACAATAAATACACGTGAAATTGAATATTTCTAATCAGAGATGACAGGGTGAGAGAAAAACCTGAAAGATATTTCTTATGGGGAAGTTTTGAAGCTGTAAACACTAAATTAAGCTAAAAGGAATAAAATACCCAAAGATATGAGATAGAAACTGGCAGTCATGACGCTAATAATCTTTGTAAATATGCATCAGAAAAATTTGAAACTTTTTTCGACTTAATCAACTTAATTTAATTTACATTATTCCAAAGCTCTGCGTGTAGTAGTAGTGTTAATTAAACTGCTGGTCCTAAGATGAATTTGACGTTCCAGTCTGAATTATTTAACTTAAACTAAAGAAACATTAAAACTGTTTATTTCTTCGGCAAATTGCTCATTTTCACATACCTTGGGATGGTCTTTTAAAACTGTCCCGTTCCACTTTGGACTAGAAAAAGAGCCTAGTGGAACTGAGTGCTGTCAGTGGCCCAATTGTTGGGCAAGGTTGGAGCATCCTCACTGAAGGACTACGATCATTTCCAAGTTATATCTTGGCCAGTAACTGATAGCAGAGCTAAGCAACAGAAGGGAAACATGAGTAAAATTAGAGAGTGGAGGAGTGGAGAAGTCCTTTAATTTATGGTCAAGGTTTAGGTATCATTATGATAACAAAATAAGTAACATTTATCAGAGTATCAAAGAGTGCAAAACATAAATAATACATTGTTTGAAACTGTTTTATAGAGTTGTACAACATTCTGTCAAAATAAAGGACAATAGTTATCGTGATAAAATACTACATTCATTCTATTTATAGTATCTGTAAATATATTAACAGCAGATATAAATAAATTAAATAAAATCAAAACAAAATAATAATATTGAAAACAAAAAATATATACAATGATAAAATAAAATAAATGATGAATAAAAATAAAATAAACTTAAAAGTAATGTCTAATATTCTTACATGTAAGTGAAAACATTTTGTGTGGTTAAATCTATATTTCCAATACCTTTCCAAAAATTAGATCATATTATATTATAATGTACATTCCAATAGCTTTTGAAAATTTATCAGCTAAAATACTTTGTTTCACTTTTGTAAACTGAAAAAACTAGTGTGGGGTTTACAATTTATTACTTTGCAACAATCCTTTTTCACAAATTTTCATCCATCTCTGTGTAATGTTGTTTGTTGATTTATTGGACATTCACTCACCATCCATGGATACAATATAATAAACAAAATGAAAATGAGATGGGGGTATGCAGAAAGTGCCGTTATAACTTTCCTCCTCCCCCGTATTATACATTATACATATAAATTTAATATAGCTAGGATAATATTGTGCAGCAAAGAGATTTTTTTTCTACAAAATTAAATATCGTTAAAAATCTTTAAAATTAAAGGAATTTTGAATTTTAATAATTATAAATCATCTAAAAACAACCTGTACCTTTGAGTTTCAAATGAACTTGTTTTGAAAAAAGTGTTGTTTTTTTTATTTAAGTCCTCAAGAACTTTTCTGTTATACAGTTCTGAGTTTATTGTAAAAGTTTAATTTTTAATTTTGTTTGTCCTTAAGAAAAAGTAATTTTAAACGAAAAATAAACAGTAAATGGGCTTTTATTAGATTTATTATTTATGTCCCTTGAAATAATTACCTGATTCTTATATTTCCTTTGATTAGCTAAACTGGCACAGAACAATTACCATTTTTCATATTTACTTTTTTGGCAAAATGAATTGGTTTAAAAGATATATCCAATAAAGGTTGTTTGAATAATAGTTATAAGAGAACAGAAAAAATATCAAAACTAAAAACTCCAGTCCTATCACAACTGTTTAAAAATATGAGTTCAATGTTCATTTCATGCCCTGCTTCTTATGGTCATAATGAAAACCGAACCAAGAGAATCTTGCCAGCTATAATTTTGAAACTACGGCAAAGAACCTCACCAGAAGACCCCTATGTAATGCAAGACTGTTGGTTTTCACCCTACTAATTGTGAAAGTTCATTGTGAACTGATTAGACTCACCAATTGGACCAAATTACATTTGATGGTTTAGGTCTTTCTTCGTTTTCAATGTCTTCAATTGATAAGCCCTAAATGGCCTTTAGTTCATAAATATAACATTCAATAGTATAAAATTTAATAATATACAAGTCCTAAATAAAGGTATAATTATCAGACTTGGAGTTCATTAAATATTATGAACATAAATTATAAAACATTCATTAAATGAATGACTAATTTTCAATTTTTTTTTAATTAAGGCTATTAATTAAGTTTCTATCAACCTTATTTATTTAATAGATTGCTTAGGGTTTTCGGATTAAAAAAAAATACACCAGAGAGAGTATTGAAAGAATCAATTTATTTATCGATCATTATACAAATTAAAATAAAAAATTTTACAATCTTTTATAAATAGGCCATTGCTTTTATCATATTTAAAAATATTTAGTAGGTTATTGGACCTACTCTACTTCCAACTTAAGATTGACATCATAACTGCCTTCTTGTTTGTGAAATTCAAATGTTATGTTGGGAAAAAAGGTGCATTCTTCATTTAATCCTTTATCAAATGTGAACTCATAATAGAAGTAAAAAAAGAATTTGGCCCAGATGATGGTGGACTCATACATGAGTTGAGAGTCTGCCGAGCTAATATAATAAAATAACATATTTCAGATTATTTTTTTTTATTTATTTATTTTTTTTTAAGAAAGAATATGACAGAAAATAAAATAGTTCTGTTTTTAATTTTAAACTCATTCAATTGTATAAAAAGTAAAGGTTTAAAAGTTCATGTGTTATGCAAACAAATTGTATAGAGATTCATATTATAAAAATACAACATTTCAAATAAAAAAGTTTGGTAGGATACCATAAATAAAATGGCTAAAGTGATGAGTAGAGCTGAAAAGTATTCTATCACTGGTGTACGAAGACCTATCAACTAATTCTTTCCTCAAAGCCACTCGTTCCTTCCTGCTCATCATAGCTAAAAGGTTAATTTATCTGCAAGTTTGTCTAAGTTATCTGGAAAAGGCAAAAACATGTGTAACTGGTATTGCAGTTTATCCCAAATACGCTCGATCAGATTCATCTCAGGTGAGCAAATAGGCAAGTTCATAACCCTCATTTCTTCTTCTTCATAAAGAATGAAGTTTTCCCCAACTTGTCCATGCATGTCTGTACAGTCACGTACTCATTCATGAAGAGTATCAGCTGAATTTTTCAATTAATCTTTGAAAATAGGACTATAATGACCAAGTCATGCCTGCATTAAATTTCTAATTTTGCTCTCTCTTCACATTTCAAAGCATTGATCATAATGATGAAGATCAAATTTTGAATTATCAATAAATATTTATACATATAAAAAATTTAATTCTGGTACTAATGATCCTTTTTTGTTTTCAGTCAACAATGAACTGGTTATAGTCAGATCATGTGCCTGGGGATCAGAAAGCGATATCGATGGACCCTGCTCTCCATCAGCACTCAACTATGCCAAAAAGATTGAATCTTGTACGACTTGTACCTATGACGAGTGCAATTCATCACCAAGTTTGGCCTCCATGTCAATGATGATTGTATTACCTCTTGCACTAATTGTGTCAAGGTTTTTGTAGATCGACTGAATCTACTACTTCCACATTACTTATCAGTAAATTCATCTTTTAGTTTAAAATTATGTACAAATTTAAACAGTTGTATCTGTATAAAATAAAATTTTAAACCTGATTACTAAATACATGGATAAGGATTGTGATCATAACATTAATTTAAGAATTAATTTTATAATAACAATTATTTAGAAAATAAACACAAAATTGTTTAAATTTATACAAAAGCTAATCTAAAAATATTCATTGAAGGAAGTTAATCGACTGTTCTACATATCATGGGTGATAAATATTCATGTAAAAAGAATGGGTATTTAAATATTTTAGAGATAAATTTAATTAAATTTAAATATGATAGAGATAAAACATTCTTTTAATTTTAATAAATGTTTTCTTTCTCTACCAAAATTCCTCATACCCCTAAATAGAATTAAAATTTGAAATTAACTGTCAGGTTAAATAATTCTTCTAAGTAAATACTTATTTTTTTCTGTTAATTAGCTATTAAACTTTATCTGTAAAATATTCAACACAATGTATGAATGTTTCAGGTTTACCTGTTAAAGTTCTATCAAGAATATAAACTTGTTTTTCTAGATTCTATTCTGAAAATTGAATATATAAAATTATGCATTTACATGTATACACAAATGTGCATTGGAAAAAACTAGGCTATAAATTTAAAAAAGATTCATGGCTAATGAACCAAAGAATAAATAATAAAAATAAAACAATTTAAAAAGATGTTGTTTTTTTTCTCAAATATTGAATTGAGTTGAACTGTTAAGGTACTATGGTTTATACAGATATTCACACAAACACTAATTTCAGATCATTATACATAATATTAAAAAAATTGATAAGGTTTATTTTATTCTGTAATTAACTGTACTATAAAATAATACAATAATATCATAATATAATTTGTTTAACAATTTCTGGAAAAAATATAATAAGCTACAATAATTGTATAATGTAAATTAAATATTGTATCAAACAAGTGTTGTAATAAATTAAAAAATATATAGTTTTGTAAATAGACTGGCATTTAGTTGCACTTTTATCAGATTTCCGTCCACTTTTGTAAATAAACAACTTTTATAAGTAATTAATTAAATTATTACCTCTGTATCCTTTTAAACTTCATATCTACATTTTGACAGGTATGGTTAATCCTCTTGAATTGGTCACAAAAACATCACTGTGCAATTGATTTATTAATATGCATTACCTTCATTATTACAATATTATTTTTATATTTATTTTTAAGTCTAAACATTGCTAATTTTATCTATTTCTTTCTGGAACACCTTTTAAACCAATTTAAAAAAAAAACTTCACAACTATGATCTTTAATCAATAATAATATTATTGTTAATTAAAATTTATTTTCTATACATGTATTCATATTTTTATCAAATTTAAGAGACTAGAGACTAAACATTTCTAAAAACTATATTCTGCAAAGAAGGACAAACCTTTATATAACTTTAAATAAACCTTTAATTAAAAAAATAATCACTATTTAAAACTAACTTATAATTATTTTGCATTGTCATTATTAGACCAGGAAATAAATAATTTGTTTTATCAAACAAAATAATCATCTATCTCAATCTTACATAGATTATTTTGATTAAATTAACAATTATGTTACAATTTGTCAGCTAATAATTTATTACTATTAATATCCTTTATTAAAAATATATATATGAAAAGAGCAATTCACAAACCAGGCTCTTGTCTAAAGAGCTCGTATCAAATTTACCTATGTTGTCAGATGATATTTTCATTTTTAGTTATTACTTTTTCTAATAACTAAAATCTTTATTGATTCCTGACAATCCTCGGAGGAGTCTGAGAAGACTGTCTCAAGACCTTCTAATATAGAACTATAATTGGAGTGTTGTCAATGGGTAGTTTCTCCTCCTGTTGTACATGTCATATTAGCAATGTAAATTTACTGATAGTATTTTTTAAAAATACAGTTGTGAATTTCAATAAAAAAAAAAATAAATAAAAAAATAGTTATTACTCTAATAAAGTGGGCACATGCAGTCTTCACCAGCATTTTTTTTAGATTTTCATTCGTAAAATATTATGTATATATTGAAATCATAAAGATGACATTCAAATAATTTACGAATTTAATTGTTAGAATTTTAGAAATTATTACAAACCTCCAGAACATCAAAGAACATAGTCCCCGACCACTAGGAGCTCTTGGGGCATGAGCCTCCCCAATGCTAAGGTGGTGAGGGGTCAGCTTCTCCCTCCTGCCTACCATCAAACCTACCCTTTCCCCCAACAAACTGCTGTAGTATGAACTTCATGAACTTATTTATCGTGTACATTACAAAGGACTGTATCTATCTACTAGCAATTAAAGTAGAATTTGTTTACCGGTGTCCAATTTTGAATATATAAACTCATCTAAACTGTAAAAGGTATCATCTATCAAAATACTGTACTGTTTTAGTTTAAAGTATATGGTGTGACAACACTTCTTTGTCATCAGGGAGCGCTTGAAACAACTCAATACCTGCCTGAGATGGTAATTTTTCATATAGGCATGTATTATATATTGCACATAGACAAATAGGATATATCCCAAACAATATCACCACCCTCCCAGACCCCTCTTCCCTATTCTTTACCAATATAGAAGTGAATTTCAATAAGAGAAAATATCTTATAGTTGAGCCCCCCAATAATTTTCATAACTTGGCACCTATGAGAAAGTGATCAAGTAAGAAATAGAAAAAGTATTAAAAAAATAATCCGCAACCAAATATACAATGTTAGTTAATCATTTGACTAACTTAATTCCTAAAACATGAAAGTTCTTGCTAGAAAGCATCATTTCGGGTTATAAATAACAAAAAAAAAGTCCTAAAAAAATATGATAATTATTATATTAATCTGTGCTTGGTTGAACTATGTTTATTTCATTTACTTATATATGAAATACACTGACAGGAGAAAAATTCCACCCACTTGATTTTTCCATGTTTTCATCTAAAAATATTTCTGTAAAGTTGTATTTGTATATAATGCATGGTATTTGTAGATAATACTTAGTATTAATGGAATTTTATAATATTTTTTACCTTTAATAATCAAAATGTGATTGGGTAAGAAAGATTAGAGAAAAAAAAAATTGAAAAACGAACCATTATTATTCTAAAAGAAATTAATTACATCATCGTTTAGTAGCACGTGTTTCCTCCTCTCGTCTCGGCATACTTTCCACCAGTCGGGAAATGTCCCTTTGCTGGAGGATAGCCCATCCTGAAGAACCCTTTCAAGGTCATGCAGTGTATCAGGAAGTGTTGCACGTGCTCTTATTCGTCTTCCGAGCATATACCATAAATGCTCAATTGGGTTCAAATCTGGAGAACGTGCTAGCCAGGCTAAAACCTCAATACTGTTCTGTTAAAGGAACGTCTGCACTACGCGGGCGACATGTGGGCGTGCATTAAAATAGAACGATCGTCGATTTCGTTGAGGATAGGCAACACATGAGGTTCCAAAATCTCATCTACATAGCGAATGGCCGTCAAATACATGAAAAAATCAAGTGGGTTGAAATATTTTGCCTGTCAGTGATAATAAATAGGCCCAGACTTGGGGAGAATGAGGAGGGCGATCGCCCACCCACTAAAAATGTTGAGGAGGTCGAGATTATCGTTTTCTCCCTTTTCCCCCAGTAATTTGAGCTACACAAATGAATAAAATGTGTAAACTAAAATCTATTAAGAAAAATCGACTAGGCTGGCTAGGTAAGGGCCTAGTAGTAGGTATGTCACTATTTTATTAATACCTAAATATTGCCTTTACTTAAATTCCCATTTAAATTCAAAGATAATAATTATATATATATAATTATTATCTTTGAATTTAAATGACAAAATGAAATTCAATAACAAAATACCCTAGGATTTTATAATTCAATCACCCCCTCAATTTTCACATGATATTCTTATCACGTTTTCCGTGAAAACTAGTCACGTTATATTTTTATTTGAGGTTTTATACATTAAGAAATCAAAGATATTTTCCATTTTTTTACATTATTCATTTTTAGTTGAAAAAGTTCTAGAAATGTACCATTTTCTCTAAAATAGTTCCAACGATTTTGATTTAACTCATTGTATCAATGTAATATCCAGTGGTCATCCACACTCCACACATATATTATTACAGTAAGGCTCGAAATCGGTTTTGTACCAAATTGCTAGGCTTCAATACAGGAACGGTGGTAGGTCTGTAGATCGATACGAGACAAATTGGAACTTGAAGATTTTGATGCGTACAGCAAGACTCGGATAATTCCCTCGGAACTACAGGATCCTGCGTTTTTAAGCCCCAAAAAGTACTATTTTCGAGATAACGCAAGGCATAGAGCTCGTCTTCCACACAAACTTACTTTAATTGTAGTACATTCGACGCAGATCCGCCAATCCTTTTTAATTCAATTCCTCTTCCCTATTCAGACACAGTCCGATACCTTGGCTTCCTTCTGGACAAAAGACTGACTTGGAACCCACATACGAAACTT